TCAAGATATTGAGGAAACGAGAATATTTGTGAATGACTATAAGAGATGTGAATTTCACTGTTAAGAAAAAGAATGCTTATTTTAAAGGAAGAGTCTTTAAATGATGTGATCAGGGTATGGAATGGGGTATATGGAATTTAATTAAGGATATTTGTAGTAGAGACATAAATATGTCCCGGTCTGAGAATATAGAGATAAGCAGATGAATTACCTGGATTTAGAAGGATTATTCACACATCAATATCACCCATAGTTCATAAGAGAAACCTTATAGAGAATAATATAGGTTTGCAAGGAGGCCTCAATTTTTTGCTGTACCCTAATTGTGATGATAATTTAAAGGTTTTATTACCTTGACACTTCATATAATCTATCAAGCAATATAATTAATCTAGTCCTTTACCAATATCAGTAGCCAAAAGTAATGTGATAGTCAATAGTTTTTATTTATGAGAGAGGTTTATGGTTTAATGAAACAGAATTTGAGGGACATATTTTCGAAGTTGAACCATTTTTAGTAGGATTCAGCGTCTTTGAAATTTCTTACTTTCTGCTTTTAATTGGTCTGCTAAAGATCATAGGGTTATATAATCTTCCAAGTTGCAAACTAGAACAAAAGCTATGCTACATAGACAGTGAGCAATGAGTACATCCACACTAACACACATACGAAAGTATAAACAGCAATTTTCTCAGAGTGACACTGTATTATAGAATAACTGTACATATGAAAGCACACACATGCACCACATAAATGTTCCACTTTTGTTTTCAGGAAATATGAAAATACTGACTAGAAAATGGCAAAAAAACAACTGCAAAAGGTGTGAATTCTTAAGAACATATCCTACCTATAATTACAGAATGAAGCAGTTTGGAAAGTACTATGCCAATATTCCCAGGTATTGTTTATAAATGTCTGTTTTATTTAAGCATGGTTATAATTGGTTAATGACAAAAATCAATCTATTTCTAATAAAAAATGGAACATGATGTAGACATGAATAATTTACATTGATATGAACTTTGATTTATTGATACAAATTTAAGTTCAATTTTGTTATATGTATATTTCTTCTCTTGTTTAAGTATTGTGTTTATAGTATTCATTTGAAAATGTAATGTGTACTTAAATACAGATTATATGTTGTCACCTGTATTAGCTAAAATTTGCAGGTATGTTAGTTAGGTTTTCTAGATATACAGAGATATATTTCAAATGAATATGTTTTCTTCAAAACCTTTCAAAGCCCTATAGAATATGACATTTAAAATTTCTCATTGGAGTTTTTCTGGACAATGAGACACAACTGTTCCTGGAAACATCAATTACATCAAAGAGGATGATGGGTTTCTAGGAAACTCATTATTGAGTTTGCCTTCAACACGGCAGGGATAACCATTTGGACAAGAAATTTCATTTGCCTGCACTGCTAAAAGCATGCTTTCCAAATGGGACAAGCAGGTTACAAAGAAAAGTGGTTGCTTAACTTGCCAACGGATGCCAAGAGACAGGATGGTCCTATAAATTTTCTGCTTCATCAAAAAGTCTGCCAAATATTCTGGGCATAAGGCTGCCCCGATGTCTTTTTTTTTTTTTTTTTTGGTTTTTTGAGACAGGGTTTCTCTGTATTGTTTGGAGGCTGTCCTGGAACTCACTCTGTAGACCAGGCTGACCTCGAACTGACAGAGATCTGCCTGCCTCTGCCTCCTGAGTCCTGGGATTAAAGGCATGTGCCACCACCGCCCAGAGGGATGCCCCAGTGTTACAGAGGAACTTTGGGTTCAGGCAGTAAGATATCTCTGTCAATTCTAAAGTTTATATTATATCCTTCTAGGGTTTTTGATGGTATTGAAGATGGATAGCTATATTTATGACTTTCCTTAATTATGATAAAAGATAAGCTACATATATAACTTTAGACTAAAAAATATAAATAATAGAACATTTTCCTGAAAATTTGCAAAATATTAGGAGACCAAATAATGTTAGCTGTAGTTCTTGCTTGATAATTGTTTTGTTAAATATAATTTTACTACTTTAAAGTTAAAATATGCCTTTTTATTTAGACAGAAAAGACAAGATAATGGTGGATGTGTCCAGAGCTTAGCCACTTCTACAAGTACTTCTTGAAAGTTTATTCATACACTGTGAGGTCAATCCCAATCAGGACACAGTTTAGAAAGGTTGCCTCTATTTGTTTTGTCAGACCATAGTGGTCAAATACATCTGCTGTTTGGTCTATGAAGAACATCAAGGACCCACAAATTATGTGAAATATGTGAATTAACTATGTATATATTTTTTTCTAATTTCCAATTCTTAGAGGCCCAATGTGACATCCAGTTGATCCAGTCTCTGATCTCAATAGCTTTTACTCATATTCTACTCATAATATAAGGGACTTATATTAAAATAGTCCCTTTTATGATCTGAGGAACACTGAAATAATCAATGTGTGTGTTTTGAAGTCAATGATGCTCAATATACTATTTGGAGTAGTAAAGTATATAAAGTGAAGTGAGTTTTGCCTCCCAGAAATGATGAGTCTCCTCTGTACTCAGAAAAGATTAATTCTTGTTACAATTTGGAGTATTTTTGAAAAGAGAAATGTGAAATGATATTTTTTTACTTTAAAATTCTCACAGATGCTCACCCCTATTTATAACAATAACCCTAGCTCAGGAGGATCAGAAGTCTGGGGATATATTAAAAACAACATATGACATAGTATTGGATTCATGAAAAATGCTACAAAATCAATAGTCATTTCTTTCTGTTTCAAAAGGAGTGTTTTTCAGAGCTGAGCTTCTGTGAAAGTAGCCCTGAAGTCACCTGAGTTCATCTCACACACCGGCACACAGGTTTTCCTAGGACTTTATTGGTTCGGGATCATTTAATTAGACTAGGATAAATAGGAAAAACCTTAGTTGAGAATCTTCCAGTAAAAGGAGAAGTCAAAGGTGGATCATCAGGTTTTCCAAAGTACATTCCAGTCATCCTCCTCTGGGCTTTATTATGGAAAAATAAGTTACAATGCTGAAGGAAGGTATCTGCATGCCATGTAGGTCATTTCTAAGTTTAGATATAAAAAAATCATATGGAAATAATATGCATAATAATGTTGTAAAACTGCAGAGAAAAATATCAAAACTGAGAACTTTGGGTATTTACTAAAGTAGATACAAATAAGTAAAAGCAGTAGTGTGTTTATGAGTTGAGAACATCCTAGCTACAACCTGCTATTTGCATATTCACTCCTCAGAGGCCACAAATAGCTTTTACTTACTTTTAAGAGAAGGGACTTAGAAAAATGAAGTTTGTAGTCAGAGACAGAGGCCAGACAACAAGATGGGTATCCTGGTACAAACTGTCAACTTGCTGCTACTCACAGTCATTTATGAGAAATTTGGGACACTCCAAACTCACACTCAGCATCCCTTCCCTCAAAGTTTTAGTTTAAACTCTGTCCCCTTTTTTCCTTCCTTCCTTCCTTCCTCCCTTCCTTCCTTCCTTCCTTCCTTCCTTCCTTCCTTCCTTTCTTTCTTCCTTCTTTCCTCCCTCGTTATCCTCCCACTCTACTCTTTTTCATATTTTCTTCTTTGAATAATGTGGTATGATGATAGGCTGAAAGCTTGGTCTACTAACTTCTATCTCTTCTCAACTTCATCCCCTTGACAGTATCGAATGATGAAATTATTCTCATCCAGGCCCCAGAATCAATATCTGTTTTTCAAGAAAAGTGGATACCTATCATCTGCAAGGCCAGCACAATACGGTCTCTAATAATTTCCATTGGTTCCATCCAAAACTGGTAGTCACTCATAAGCCACTGATTTGTAACATAAACAAACTTGCTTCTGGAGTTTTAGTTCTGTACAGTGGGCAGTGTTTCCGGGACTGCTTGCTCTCTCAATAATCATCAGTATGGAGACTGAAGATACTGCCACTTATTAAGAGCAAATCAGAGAAGTCCCCCTTCACAAGGTATTACAAACCTAAATAAAGTGGCTTTCAGCTTCTCAAGATCCATTTAACCTCTCCCTCAGAAAATCAATATGATCAGGAGTTGAACTAACATGCTACAGAATCTCTAAATATTTCTACAATGGAAGGGTATTTGAGTTCCATGCAAGGGCCTTAAGCAGCCCCTCCTTTAAAGGAGGAAGAGATAATGTATAGACGGCATAATGAGATAAGACAACCAGAGGTCACATATTTGTGGCATCCTGTGCAGAGCAATATGTGAGAGATGTGATTAAGATCTTCTGAACTTCAGAGTGATTCTTAAAAGGATATCACTGGATATTTGAGAATACATGAATAGCTGTAGAAATTTATTTTTTCATAACTAGTTCCAAATTAGTGAAGTATAACAGATCTTTAACGGAGCAGTTCTTCATCAGAGACAGGCTGTATTTTGACAGGAAGGATCTAATCAATGAAAGCACAGTTTGCTATCACCTCTTACTGAGGAGGGAGATATGAATGAAAATGCCTGTTTACATTTTTGCAGAATGTAAGCATTGTGAAAAGGGAAATTTATAAAAACAAGCACCAATATAAAAATGTAAAAGTTTCAAATTATGACATAGGGTCTTAATTCTACTACATAAAATTTAGGTTGAGAAGTTAAAATTTTAGAGTTTGGTAATGCACAAATACACACACACACACACACACAAACCATCTCAATAACATCTACAGATACCTATAAAAGCACCATGTAGTCATTTATGTACTTTCAAGAACTGTAACATATATGACAGCCCCTACTATGGAGGAACTACAGCAAGGAGATTCTACATTATTTATGCCACAAATCAGAGTAAGTTACACCTCAGAGACTGATACTGTTTATTGGTGTTCCAAGAGGACCAACTTTGTTACAAATAAACGTGTACTACCTCTTTCATCTGAGACTTAATTCAACCATGGGCCTTTAAAAAGTCATTTTCTTGGATATTCCTGTGACTGTGGCCAATCATTGTTTATTTGCATGTGCGTAAAGCACAACCCACTACCCTGAGGACTTCTTCATATTCAGGTCACACCCTGTACTGGAATCAGCCTTAGACAGGACACAACACAGACATGAGGACGGCTACTCAGCTCCTGGGCTTGCTGCTACTCTGGTTTACAGGTGAGGGTGACAGCACTGGAAATTTCGTCAGCTGATTGTTCTCAGTGCTGACTGATTTCTGGGAAAGTACTTTTCTAACAGTATTAATAGTATAGAAATTTGTTTTCAATTTTTTAATCTCAGGTGCAAGATGTGACATCCAGATGACTCAGTCTCCAGCCTCCCTATCTGTATCTCTGGGAGAAACTGTCACTATCACATGCCTGGCAAGTGAAGACATTTCCTGGAGTTTAGCATGGTATCAGCAGAAACCAGAGAAGCCGCCTAAGCTCCTGATCTATGGTACAGATAGCTTGGTAGATGGGATCCCATCGAGATTCAGTGGCAGTGGATCTGGCACACAGTTTTCTTTCAAGATAACCAGCCTGCAGCCTGAAGATGTTGCAGCTTATTACTGTCAACAGGCTTACAGTACCCCTCCCACAGTGATTTAGGTCATGACATAAACCACACAGGGAAGCAGAAGTGAGAGCCAAGGCAGCCCTAGTTGCTCCTTCAGGTGCCTCCAATGTTACAACTGTATCTTTCTATCATAATTTATAGGTCAATGTGAATATTTTGTGTGGAAATCATAGAAACTTTGCTTCTTTTTTACATTTTTATTAAATATTTAAATTAGAAACAATCTTGCTTCCCATGTCAGTGCCAGCTCCCTCTCCCTCCCCTCCATGCCCACTCCCTCCCGCTGTCCCCCCAGCCCCCACCCAACACCCATTCCATTACCCAGGGAGGGTAAGGCCCTCAATGGGGGAACTCTAGAGTCTCCCCAAAGTATCCAAATTGAAAAAGCATCCCTCACTGTGGGATGGGCCCCCAAAGTCCATATGTGTGCCGGAGATAAATATTGATCTACTACCCAAAAACCCCATAGATTGCCTGAGTCTCCTCACTGACACCCACATTCATGGGGTCTGCTGCAGTCCCATGCTGGCCTCGCAGTCATCTTACTGGGGTCCAAGATCTCTCCCTTGTTTATGTCAGCAGTATTTCTGGGATTCGCCAGTCCAGTCTTGACCCCTTTGCTCATCTATCCTCCCTCTCTGCACAGGGTTCCAGGAGTTCAGTTCAGTGTTTAGCTGTTGGTATATGCCTCTGCTTCCGTCTGTCACTGGATGGGGGTTCTAGGATGGTATATGAGATAGTCATCAAAATCATTATTAGGGAGGGACATTTAAGGAAGTCTCTCCACTTCTGCTTAATTTGCCAGTTTGTGTCATCCTTGTACATCTCTAGAGTTCTCATTAGTGCCAGTCCCCTCAAACGTAGAATGGCTCCCTCTATTATGGTATCTCTCATCCTGCTTTCCTGTATTCTTCACCCAACTCAACTTTCCTGCACCCCCATGGCCTCTTCTACTTTCTTCTTGTCTCCCTCTCTTTTTGGGGGCTCCCTTTTCCCTTCCCCACCCTGTCCTCCCAATCCACTCAGAAGACCTTGCCTCATTCCACATTCTCTGGGTACTATGTATATCTCACTTAGGGTCCTTTCCTGTTTCCCTGCCTCTCTGGCAGTAGGATTGTATACAGGCACTCAAATGATTCATGTCTAAAATCCATATAGGAGTGAGTACATTAAATGTTTGTCTTTTGTGACTGTGTTACGTCACTATTGATGGTTTCTTCTAGTGCCATCCATTTGCCTGCAAAATTAATGATTCCATTGTTTTTTCTGCTGAATAGTATTCCATTATGTATTGTACCACATTTTCTCTATTCACTCTTCTGGTGTGGGGCATCTAGGTTGCTTTCAGATTCTGGCTATTACAAAAGGTGCTGCTATGAACATAGTGGAACAGATATCCTTTTTGTAAGAATGTGCATCTTTTGGATGTATGCCTAATAGTGGAATTGCTGGGTCTCATGATAGACTGATTCCAATTTTTCTGAGGAATCTCCATGCTGATTTCCATAGTGCCTGTATGAGTTGGCACTCCCACCAGCAGTGGAGGAGTGTTTCACTTTCTCCAATCCTCTCTAGCATAAACTGTCATTGGTGTTTTTAATATTAGCCATTTGAGAGGAGAAAGATGATATCTCAGAGTTGTTTTGATTTGCATTTCCCTGACTCCTAGGGATGTTGAGAACTTTCTTAAGTGTCTCTCAGACATTTTAGTCTCCTCTATTGAGAATTATCTATTTAGTTCTGTAGTTCACTTTTTATTTTGATCTTTGGTGCTTTGGAGACTTGCTTCTTGAGCTCTTTGTAGATTTTGAAGATAAGCCCTCTGTCAGATGTGGGATTAGTGAATGTCTTTTCCCATTCTGTGGACTGCCTTTTTGTCTTATTGACTGTGTCCCTTGCCTTGCAAAAGCTTCTCAATTTCAGCATGTCCCATTTATTAATTGTCAATCTCAGTGTCTGTGCTACTGGTATTATGCTCAGGAAGCAATCTCCTGTACTAATTCATTCAAGGGTACCTCCCACATTCTATTCTAACAGGTTCAATGTGATTGGATTTATGTTGAGGTTTTTAATCCATTTGGACTTAAGTTTTGTGCATGGTGATAGACATGTGTCTATCTGCAGACTTCTACATGCCAGCATCCTGTTATGCCAGCACCATTTGTTGAAGATAACCTTCTTTTTTCAGTTTATAATTTCAGTTTCTTTCTCAAAAACCAAGTGTTCACATGTGTGGGGTTAATATCGAGGTTTTCTATTTGATTCCATTGGCCCACCTGTCTATTTTTGTGCCAATACAAAGCTGTTTTCAGGATTATAGATATATAATATAGTTTGAATTCAGGGATAGTGATGCCTCCAAACATTACCTTCTTGAACAGGGTAGCTTTGGCTATCCTGGGTCTTATGTTTTCCATATAAAGTTGATAATTTTTCTTTAAAGGTCTGTGAAGTATTGTGCTGGGATTTCAATAGGGGTAGCATTGACTCTGTAGATTGCTTTTGGACAGATTGCCATTTTTACTATGTTGATCCTACCTATCCAAGAGCATGGGAGATCTCTCCATTTTTGGGTGTGTTCTTTAATTTCATTGTTTAAAGACTCAAAGTTCTTGTGATATAAGTCTTTCACTTGTTTGGGTTGTGTTACCACAAGGTATTTTATGTTGTTTGTGGCAACTGTAAAGGACAATGTTTCTCTGATTTCTTGCTCCGCCCTTTTATCATCTGTATATAGTAGGGCTAATGATATTCTTGAGTTGGTCTTGTATCGTGCCACTTTGCTGAAGGTATTTATCAGCTGTAGGAGTTCCTTGGTAGAGTTTTTGGGGTCACTTATGTAAACTATCATATCATCTGAAAATAGTGAAAGGACTTCTTCCTTTCCAATTTGTATTATATGATATCATGTTGTTGTCTTATTTCTCTGGCTAGAATTTCAAGCACAATATTGAAGAGAATTGGAGAGAGTGGGCAGACTTGTCTTGTTCCTCAGTTTAGAGGAATTGCTTTGAGTTTCTCTCCATTTAGTTTGATGTTGGCTGTTGGTTTGCTGTATATTACTTTTATTATATTTAGGTGTGTTCCTGTTATCCCTGATCTCTCCACAACCTTTATCAAGAAGGGGTGTTGGATTTTGTCAAAGGCTATTCAACATCTAGTGAGATGATCATATGATTTCTGTTTCTCATCTTGTTTATATGGTGGATTACATTGATAGAGATGCCAGGAAATAATCAAATTGAGGGCTGAATTCAATAAAGTAGAAACTAGGAAAACGATACAAAAAATCAATGTAGCAAAGTATTGGTTCTTTGACAAAATCAACAATAAAGACAATCCTTTATCCAAACTCATGAAACAGCAGAGCAGTGAACATGCAAATTAATAAAATCAGAAATGAAAAGGGGGACATAACAACGGACACTTAGGAAATTCAGAGAATCATCAGGTCATACTTTGAAAACCTGTACTCCACAAAATTCAAAAATTTAGAGGAAATGGACAGGTGTCTTGATAGATATCACCTGCCAAATTAAACCAAGACCTGTATCCCCAATGGAAAGTCATCCAACCGAAAAACTCCAGGGCCAGATGGCCCCAAAACAGAATTCTACCAGAAATTCAAAAATCGGCTTATTCCAATTCTCCTCAAAGTATTCCATGCAATAGAAGCAGAAGGATCTTTGCCAAACTTTTTTAACGTGGCTTCAATAATCTTGATACACAAGCCACACAAAGACACAAATAAGAAAGAGAACTTCAGACCAATATCCCTCATGAACATTGATGCAAAAATACTCAATAAAATACTGGCAAAATGGATCCCAGAACACATCAGAAAACTCATCCACCATGATCAAGTAAGCTTCATCCCAGGGATGCAGGGATGGTTCAACATACAAACTTTTCTGTGCCACAAATTGTTCTATTGTGCAGATCTAGCAGCATTAAAAGCACAGGAATACTTCACATGAGTAGTAGAGTCACAGCAACAACTGAGACTCTTAGAACAGAAATGTCAATACACACACACAGAGGGCAGAGTCATGTCACACACACACACACAGAGGGCAGAGTCATGTCACACACACACACAGAGAGAGAGAGAGACAGAGACAGAGACAGAGACAGAGATAAAGACAGAGAGATAGGAGAGAGAGAGGAGAGAAGGAGAGACAGACAGAAACAGAGAAAAAGATGAGAGAGACTACTTACACCTCTACATATACATATACACCAAGCTGCAGTAATTTAGATTTGGGGCAGAAAAATCATTATCTAGCTATAGCATTAAAATTCTGAGGAAGTAGGCTTCTAACACAACAATTGGGTCATTTCAACCTATGTGTTCTCAGCAGCCTCTACCATGGCCAGTGCATAGGTATAAAATACTGACTACTCTTTCAAAGGACTTTTTTTAGACTGCTAACAACTGTTAATAACTTCAGGTCTAGGGTGTCTGAATATCTCTTCTTGTCTCTGAGCCTTTGCACTGATAAGTTACACAAAATGTAAGCTGGAAAATACATGTACATATAAAATAAAAAGTATTAAATATTTGAAAATCTTGCTGAATATTCCATACCTGGCCTTGACCTCTTGATACTCTGTCTCTACGTTCAAATGCTGGGAACACAGAAATCACCACCATATCTAGCTCTTTCTTTTCTTTTTTTAAATAGTTTTTATTTAAAAACAAGCTTCCTTGACATGTTAACCCCAGCTCCTTCTCCCTCACCTCCTGCTCTGCCCCCCACCAAACCTCCAACCCCAAACACAATCCCCACTGCAATCCCCAGGGAGGGGTGAGGCCCTCCATGTGGGATCTCTAGAGTCTATCATTTCATCCTGGGCAGGGCCTAAGTCTGCCCCAGTGAGTCCAGGCTGAATGAGCGTCCCTTTATGTGGTATGGGCTCCCAAATTCCATTTTTATGCAAGGGGTAAATACTGATCTAATATTTAGAAAAAGTGATACTGAGAACAAATATTTCTCATAATCTGGAGTCCATTTTTTACTTCAAGTAAGGT